CATGCAAATTTTGATCAGGTGCTGTTTTCTTGTTGTTAGTGTTTGTATGTTTCATGCCATATTGAAAGAGAGAAGAATTTAAGAAACAACTTATGTTTTAAAAATTAGAACTTTAAAAGCTAATTTTTGGAGCTAATTGGAGCATTGTAGGTAAGTGCTAACTAACATACCTTATGTTGATGAAGCACTTCTCAAATGCTGGATTCCCTTGTCCGATTATGCAAAGTCCTTCTGATCACTTTTTACGCGCAATAAATACAGATTTCGACAAGATCATTGCAATGTGCAAAAATTGGCAGGTAAATACTTGGGATTGCAGTTTTTTCTGATTCCCATTGCATAAAGTGTATTGAAGATTTTTTAATTCCTGCTCTATAATTTTCCATTAGAAAAATAGTTTCAAAGTTGTTGGGCCACATGTTTTGATTTTGAATTAAAGGCGGAACGATGTGTAACAATATTTGTGGGCCAATATGTCTTAGACTTTAGCAGGACATTTACATTATTACTTTGTTTAACATATGCTTTGCATGGACTGCAACATGGTGGCAGGATGACAATGGGGATTTTTCATCAGTGAACATGGATACAGCTGTGGCAATACGTACCCTTGAAGCAACTTATAAATCATCAGCTGATGCTGCTGCAGTTGAAACTATGATATTGAGACTTACGGAGAAGGTATAAGTTTGATATGCTCGTATCTATACACCATAAATCCTTGGTGCGTCCATGAGTGTGCAGCTGTGGTATTCTGCATCATAACTGGAAGTTTCATTTTTGCATGTTGTGTTCCATAACTTCGGTGATATATATGTATATGTTGACTTCTGTAATTTTCTTAACTCCCAATATGCATTTGCTTCTATAGGAAGGTCCAGTACTTAAAAGCAAGGGAAAGGCTGGAACTGCTACACGAATTGCAGTTTTAACTTGGAGATCATTATTAATAATGTCAAGGGAATGGAAATACTACTGGCTTCGTCTTATTCTTTATATGATTTTTACACTCTCCGTTGGTACAGTATTTTCTGGCTCAGGGCATTCTTTGTCTTCAGTTGTGGTGAGTTACATAACATCAGATTTTTTCAATCATTTAGACAAAAAAATAAAAATTGCACATTTTGGAAAACATTTTCAGTTTTACATTTCATGAATGATCAATGATCACTTTCTTAGTTGAACAACTACTGTTTATTGGAAGGCTACTGCGACTAGTAATCTTGTTTCCTCCAACAAGACTTATCACTTCTGAATTCCTACTTCTTTTCATTTTTCTGTAGCAAAATAGCTAAAATGTGTCATAATCACCAAAATAGTTACGTCTTCTGTACTGCTTTATTTTATGATCATTCAGTTTAATTTTATTAAATAAAGCCTCCATATCGCCTACTGGCATTGTTTTTTGATCCCAAGAAATTTTTTATTTAAGGAGATGCCTTACTCACATAAGCTAGAATTCAGTTCATATTTGAGTTAAATATAAAAATAGTCAGTTTATCCGGAAGGAGATTTTAAATAAGGGTGACGTGAGATAGCCATCAATAGTAGTCATTATGTGATTTGGTTGGATTTATTCAAATAACTTAGACTAATTAAGGATGCCAAAGTTAAAATATAACAGGTTTTTGAAATGAGAAGTCAGGTCAGCGTCAGAGGATTCAACTCCTTAGAATTCAATAGGTAGCTAGTATCTACTTTGAAGACTCTTTTTTGGACTATGTTTCATGTGCCATAGTTTTTCAACTTTCAGCTTCCCAGAAGCCAATTCCGTTGTAGCTTGTCACCTGCAAGGCTTCCTATAGGAAAATCAAATGCTACAAGGAAAATCTCAATGGCAGATTTGATGGACCACTCTGCTTATAAACCTCCACTGGATATCAGCTGCATGACATTAGCACCCAAATAAAAATTTTTAACAAAATCTGTTCATGGTTTTTCTTAATTAATGATGAAGGTTTTACGTCAAGCATAAAATAATTACTCTTCAAGTCTGATTTTGGAAAATGTTCTTGTTGCTTACCGTCTTTATTGAGATGCATTTGCAAAACTTGTTTGTTTGTGTGGTAATTGAGTCAACTTTGTTTTTTTTCACCTTCCATATGCCGAGAAGAGTTGCAGCAATGTATTATTTGTTTCTTCACTGCACTACTAAACACTGCTGGAGTAGTTTTATACTAAGTGCTACAGTATAAAACTGTAATAATAAAATCTGTACACTGATTTTCTTTATAATGCTAAACCTTTTATGTCAAACGTAAGATACGTAATTGTTGAAGTCTGCTTCGGGAAAATGTTGCTTATTGTCTTCCCCTCATGCACCCACATTATTTGTTATCTTGTGTGGCATCTGAGTCACTTTCTACTTTGTTCAACTTTTATATGCAGACAAAAGTTGCAGCAATATTTGTATTTGTTTCATTTACTGCGCTACTAAGCATTTCTGGAGTACCTGCAGTTATAAAAGAAGTCGAGGTAACCCCTGATTGTATTCTTTCTCAGAAGTTGACTTGAAGAAGCATTGAAATTTCCCAAGTTATGATTAATATAGTGCTAACATCTGTACAGAATTATATGAATTATGCGTATTATGGTTTGTTAAGGAAGAACCCCAGATCTTGTGCTGGTTTTTCTTGGCAATCTAGTCTTCGGTGATTAATCCTGTAGAAGATCGATCTCTCTTTTTAAACTTTGGCAGCTTTAAAGACATTTCATCAATTTAGGACAATGATAATGGTATACTAATGACCCGTGAGTTGTGATCCAGTGGTTGGGGGACTTCTTGGGGAACAGCCTGTTTGGGGTTCAAAACTCACTGAGGTACCTATCTAGCAATTTATTGCTAGAGTTTGGAAGATAACTCATCTTCCAAAC